TGGGACTTTCTAAAGCCCTTTGGAGCTGTGCAGTCTTTCAAGCTGAGAGGGGTACTTTTTCCTCATTTCCTGAAATAATGCGTACGTTTGAGTCTCATTCTCCTTTCTAGATCATTGCCAGATCTGAGTTCCTAGAACCAGCTAGACTAGCCTTGTATTGTGTCTTCAGCTCTTCCAGCTGAGTTTGTTCCTTTTCTTGAATGAACTGATAACTTGAGAAGTGAGTTGGTGTTTGTCTCCATCCTCCAGTGTAGGAGGAAGCTTCCCACTTCTGTGTTCTCTTCCTTGGTCTCTCAGAGTCTTGGGTTGATCCGTCAGCATGGCATTTGGTAGCAGCATTTAAACAAGTCACTTCAGTACTAAGGTACCTTCTCTCCCCCCTCCCTTCCTTTTTGCTACTTTGGCAGATTGCCTTGCATGATTGATTGCATTTTGATTCATCTCTGATATTTATTCTCCTCCGTGGAGAAAGATGGGAAGGAGAGATGGTGTTGCTGCCCCAAGGTAGGAATCAAGAGCTGTAGAGTGTTATTTCGTTCAGTCCCCAAAAGCCCTCTAATAACACAGAGGACGTGTTGTGCTGTAGTGAAAGGCAGCTTTGAGAGATCATGTCATCTGCCCTCGCCTGGCCTTGTGCTGCCTCTGGCTGTAGGACTGTATCAAAATACCATCTTGGATACTGCAGCTCAACTGATGGTAGCTGCTTCAACCGATTCCATCTCTGTGTTCTAGAGGAAGACCTTCTGTCCTCCTTCCCCATCCTGGTCAGATGGCATCCAGGAAACTTGATGTCCTGATGAGTTGTTCTTTTTTTGCAGGGAGGTGACCTAGTGAAGGAAGCTGTCAGCTTTGTAGCAAGAGGAGGTGGGTGGGCTGAGGATGTTGGAACAAGCGAGTGATGGGAGGGAGCAGATGAAATGGTGGGCCCCATCTCTCAGCCAGAAGGGTTGTTGCAGTCAAAGGGTTGGAGCATGGATGAGCAGCTGTGAGGCAGAGGCTGGAAAGAGCTTTTTTTATTTGTGCTGAATAATGTTTGATACATTGGCTGCCTGTTTCTTAACCATGTGCTGTCCTATGGGATGTCCAGCAGCTGTGCCCTCTTGTCCTTCCTCTTCCTCCAGCCCTGGGACCTTACACTGGGTTGATATCTCTTAAGGCTGAGCTGCCTCTGGGGCCCCTCTCTTAAGGGACTGAGGACCCTGACTGATGATGTGCTTTGAGCTTTAAAACAGTGGGGTTTAGCCTCTTACATCTAGAGAAGTGTTTCTGGTTCTGGTTTGCCACCACAAGAGAGAGGTGGGGGTACCAAGACTTCCTTGGGCCAGTGTTGAGTGAAAGAGGAGGGATGTATGATTTAGCGTAAGGTGTCCCTGCCCACGGCAGGGGGGTTGGAACTAGATGATCTTAAGGTCCTTTCCAACCCTAACAATTCTATGATTCTATGATCGTAGCCTTGATATAGATTGAGTTCTCCCAGATGAGACTTTCTGTGCCCCTTCGTGTTGTCTGTGTCCTTTGGCAGAGAGGGAGTAGGGTGAGAGCATCTGGATGTGTTTTTTTCTTCTGGGCCATATCTCTCCAAGGTCATGCATTTGCAATTGCATCCATATGGCTGGTGCCTCTGTCTAGCTGAGCTCTTGGAAGCCCACCAGGAGACAGACCTCATATGACTGCAGAGATTTTATATGGCCATCTGAAATGCCACTCTTTACCAGGACAGGGCCTACAGGGGCAGATCTCTGAATGGAGCCAAATCGTATTTAATTCCTTCTGACTACTGCTGCCCCAGTCCAGCTTGCATATCAAAGGCTTTCTGAGAGCAGGGTCCTGTGGTCTTGTTTTGCTCTAAGCACTTGTTTCTGTGTGCTGGGAGTGTCTGATCTCTTCAGGGAATGGTGCAAGGGAGTAGTGAGTGTCCTTGCCTTGGCTGTGGCTGTGTTTCCTCCTGAAGCTCAGTCCAGTCTTCGCTGCCCCAGTGCTTCGAAGGAAGCAAACTGCAGCTTTATTTATGAGACATGGGTGGGGCTGCAATAAAAGGAAATGAAGAAGCCCTCACTAACAGCAGTGGCTTTTGTTTTTCAGCATCAATACTGCAAGCCTGCCTTCACTCAAAAACAAATGTTGCAACGGTCAGCTGCCCTTCCATCTTGGGCTCTGGCTCTGTTCTTGTCTGGAGAGTGGAGCAGAATCAGGCCTTTTCCTCGCTGCAGGTCCAGGCACTGGGAGTGGTATGATGCTCTTCCCAGGAATTGCCATTGAAAGAGGCATGTGTGTTAACTGCAGTAGGTCGGGCACTCCATGTGTTCTGAGAGTAAGACCCCCTCCTCTTTCCAGATGGTGAAACATCTCTGAAGAGTTCTCACTTTGGATAGGCTTTTTTCTTTAGCTGCTTGGCTTTTGTCCAAGGGAGTCTGTGTGGCTTTATGGGAAAGGATTTTTAGTTGAGCAGTAAATGGTGTTGTGCACATCTGAACATGTGTATCCAGAGGATCCTTCAGCTTGGGGGGGGGGGGGTGGAAATTGCACTGGTGGCAGCAAATGTTTGTGCATATGCATTGATTGCATGTACCTGTAAAGTTGTAATCCTTACTCAGTTAAAGCTTCTGATATTATATTATCTGTGTGTTATTCTCTGTGCTCTGCAAGGCTCTGTTAAGCCTGTTGCCTCCTCCCTCCTTCCCTACTGCATACTTGTCTTTATCATCTTGTGCCTTGCACCCAGGTGGAAAGTGGCTGCATCACTGGGCCTTGCTGCCCAGCTGTGCTGGTGGGAAATAAGCGATTTCCTTGGGCTCTGGTGGCTGATAGTGGTGGCTGAGGACCCACACCTTCCCTTTGGGGTCCATAAAGGAGGATGATTTTTTAGTGGCTCCCTGAAAGGATGTGTATGCTCTGTATCTGCAGGAAGATAGACTAGATCTGGCTTCTAGGAGAATTCTTCTAAATGGATGTGAGGAAGATGAGATGAGGAGAGAGGAAGAGCTCTGAGAATTAAAAAGTGAGGGTTGCATAAGACTGGTGGTATTGATCTAGGTTTGAAATTAAAGGGGTTTACTGTTTACTGTGCTGCTGAGACATGGAAAATGTTCCTGTAGGGTCAGAGTGAGATCAGGTTGCTTGGTGGAGAGAGTCCTATTGGTTTTTGAAGAGGCTTGGTTGTGAAATGGTGCTGTCTGTGCTAACAGTACTTTGACCTGGTGTCCTGGGAAGTCCTCCTTGCTGTGTGTCTCTGCACTCTCTGATTCTCAGGTTTGTTTGATGTCTTGAAAGCCTTTTGGCTCTGCAGGTAGAGGAAATGCTGTACCAGTACAAAAATACTGCCTCGAGTGCCATGGACTGAAGGGTGGAAAAATGTACTCCTTTCTGGGGAACATGGCTTTGGAGGTGCCTGTGTTTTTTAAAGGGATGTGTTGCTGATGGGACCTTTGTTCATCAGCTGCAGAGTAATGATCTTGGGAGACAGCATTAGAACTAGCATCAGTGCTTGTGTCCTGCAGATGAACATGGCTAATGCTGAAGCATGACTTACCAAAAGTTAGTAGCTCTGACAGCTGCATTCCTGGCTGAAAGAAGACTGGGTTTGCATCCTTCAGGGGTAAGAGGGGAGCGGAGAATAGCAGACTTGGAAATGCCAGAGTGGGGGACAAGCTTTCCTTTCTTTTGGTCAGGAGGACAGAGAAAACAAGGCTTTTTGGTACATGTACAAGGGGTGGTAAGGAGACCATTGGTATATCTTTCTCTTTTTCTTCCTTACTGGAATGGGTTCTGTTGCATCTGAACATAATACCTAGAGCCACAAAGCCTGCTGGAGGCTCTTGTCTGGAGAGGAGAGACATTGTGTGGCTTCAGGTCATATTCCAGCCCTACCCTAAAGCCTGCCTTGTGACCTTCAGGAAACTTGCTGTTCCTTGTGTGTGCCTCGGGTTTTGACGTGTCTCTCCTTGGCTGGATCAGTTCTCTCCTCGGTAACATCTTCTCTTGCTTAGTGTCAGTGCTGTGGCCCTCAGCCTGATCTCAGTTATGCTTATGAGGTGATAAGAACTCAAGCCTTTATGGAAGCTGAAGTTCCCAGAGGGTCTGAGCTTCATCTCATCTGCTCCAGGGAAGCACATCTGGAAGAGGAAGATAAAAGGAAAAGTTTTGGCAAGATGGAGCAGCATGATTTTTATTTTTCTTTTATTCAGAGCTTTGGTGGCCAGGCAAGGCCTGAGAGTGCTGCTGTTACTTCTCTGTCAGCTTCTTTCACTGGAAACTCCAGCCCTCTTCTCTCCTCTACCTTGGATAAATGACTGCTGTCTCAAGAGCTGCAGGAATGCCTGCATGGAAAGCGTTCCCTTCCTTCAGACTCGCTGGGCACACAGGGCTGGTTTACAGCTTGCTGGTGTGTGCTGGTTGTTCAGAGAGCTGGCCAGGCACTGCCTCCTCAGCACTAGCAGAGGGAAGCCAGGCTCTAGGGCACAGAAGAAGTAGAAGAGAAGGGATTTGCATGGCAGATAAATGCAGCTGACATGCCTGTGCTTGCTGGCATTGCAGAGGTGTTGAGTGGGTCCCAAGCTGCAGGAAGACAATCTGCTCAGCCTCCTAACTATGCTGCTTTTGTTTGGTCCTCTTCAAACACTCCTCAGCACCTGTGCCTCAGAACAGCTCTTGGACTCAAGTAACTCGAGGAAGAAAATGTAACATGCCACAAGTTTGAGGCCACAATGCAAATTAGCGGCATGGTTTGTGATACCCCTAGAATATAATTTTGCCATCCATGCTTGGGCACTGCTGGGTACCACTGATTTTCTGGTGGCATACTTTAAAGGGGAAAAAACCATTCTTATATCCCATTCGGCATCAGCCTTTTCTCCCTGGATACAACCACTTATAGTGGGAGGGCTTTCAGAAGGAATGGGGAGCTGGCAGCGGTGGGAATGCCTACAGGAGAAAAAGCAGGGTGTGGAAACATGTTGGAAACAGGGACAGTAATGTGGATGGCAGCAAGGTGCCCAGGAGGGCACCTGTGTGCTCAGACCTCTCACTGGGACTCCAGCAACCTTTGGTAGAATTGGAGAGACAAAGTGCAGAGTGATCGTAATCTACAACCCTTGTTGAAATGGCAGAAAGAGGACTTGTCCAGCATCGAGCTGTTTTCAAATGGCACAGCTCTTAGGTAAGCATTTCTGGAAAAGGTGATGGGTTTTCCTCTTGCCCTGACATTATCAAAGCAGGATCTCCTTGCCTTGATGATATAAATGAGTTGTGCTGAATGGCACTGCAGTTAGTGCCACAGGCTGCTTGGCTTTCTGCAGCGAAGAGCCCCCTCAGCCTTCAAAGTGGTAGAGCGGTGCCTTGGAACGTGGTGGGGAAGGCTTTGCAGTAAGACCTGAGCTTTTCCTCAGCAGCCCCCTACCCACTGTGGTTTGGAGATGTATGCATGTGCTGTGGCAGTGATTGAGGCTATATGGGTGCTCAGACCTGGTTCTCCTTCACTTGCCCTCTGGTGTTGGGGTGTGGGCTTGGGGCAAGTCTTTGTGGGTTGGTGAATTTAGCTCAGACATGAGGGAGAAACAAGCTCACCCATTTCTGCCTCTTTGCAGAGCCCTGCTCCAACAGACGGTGCATGTCCAAGCTCTGGCGTGCTGGTGCTGCTCCAAGGCTGCCAGCCTTGCAGAGAAGGAGATGGTTTTGTTTAGTATGCTTATATGAAGAAAAAAGTCTGTCAAAACAGGGGTTTGGGAAGGGGAGGGGGGAGCAGGAAGTCTTTCTGTTAGCATTTATTAGAAGGGAAATGGATGTTTCATGTTCATGGGCCCTGCTGAATGTGCAGTGCTCAGGGCCAGTGGTGTGGTGAAAGCCTCCTGACTTCTGAAGTGAGGGGTGCAAATGTGATCTGGAATAAGCAAGAAAGGACTAAATATAGAATGCACTGGCTCCCATCCTGCCATGGCAGCGCTGCCCTCACTGCACTTCTGGAGGCAGCAAGTTCTGCCTATTGTTCCGGTCACATTCCTGTGTCCCACGATGGGGCCTCTGATGGAATAAAATGAAGAGAAACAGATGGGAAAACAATAACCCAAGGAACAGGCTCTGAGCTTTTCTGGAAGCTTCCAAAACCCCATAAATCCCCAAATGCGTTTGTGCTGGATTAGGGAACTGAAGCAAAGCAAGGGCCAAGTACATGCCTTGCTGTATCCCGTGTGATTTTGTACAGAGGCAGTTCTCTGGGGGGGCTTTACCTTGCAACATGTTATTGTAATGGCAACTCTTCTTAATGTTTTAATTCTGGCAACTTTGCCAGCTGTCCTTTCTCTGCACTCCCTACCCTTTTTGTCTTGCAGGCCTGGATAAAGTGACTGCACAAGGAGCGAGCCCACCTCTCCATCTTTCTCATGTACAACTGAGCTGGCTGCAGGCAAAACATAGTGAGACCTTTGCAAGGCACTGGTGCAGTGCCTCTGAGTTGCTGGTAAGTGCTCTGTAGAAAGAATTAACCATTAGTGAATGTGAGCCTCTTGGGAGGAGGGAGGGACTGACCTGGGGACTGAGCAGGGAATACGACCTACCAGAGTTAGCATGTTTGATGACTGTGAAGGTGTCAAAGTAATTTGAAGTCCTGATCCAGCCACAGTTTGCTTTTTGTTTGTTTTTGAAGTCAGTGCATAATTGTTACCTAAAGTGTCTCTTCCTTGACTGTGTGTGCAAAACTCTGGGTCAGCAGCGGGAGGATGGATGATTCTGGGGGTGAATGAATGAAGTTTGGTGCTTTCTGGAGAACTCTGCTTTACTTTGCAAAAAGCAAACACCTTGTTTGCTCACCTGCCTGTCTGTGGATTGGCTTTGCTCATACTCTGCAAACATCTACAACTGTTTCCTTCCCTAACAGCTTATTTGCTGCAGTCTTTTTGGGATGAAGCAGTTTCCCAGGGGATCAGACCGATTTTGTGGCTGGCCCAGGGGAAGAGTGAGGCTGTGCTGTGGGGAGAAGGGAACAGAATGGGGATGAAATGAAATAAGAGTCTTAGTTTGAACCAGCTGTCTTGTGAAACCTCATCTTTAGGATCTGAAGCAGGAAGAACTGCACATGCTGAAGCTGTGCTGCTGTAGCTGTGGTGTTACAGCATGGGAGCTGAATCGTTTAAAGCCAGATAGGGATCTATACACCAGTGATCTTTATCCTTGTTAAAATTCCTCTTTTCTCCTCCTGCATATATTCCCCAAGCATATATTCTTTCAGTCACCCTCCTCCCCGATAAGTCTGCTCTTTCCTACCACTGCTCCATGTTAAACAGCTGTTGTTGCTCTGAATAGAGAGATCTATCCCTGTGCAAGGAAAGAAATGGTGAAACTATTCATGTGCTGAAGGTGCTTGGTCCAGAGCTGATGAAACCAACGTCCTGTTTAACGGTCTTTGAATTAGGTTTGGTGTTACTCAGGCAGTTGCATTTGCAGGAGCCAGGTTTTCTGTTGTGTGGCTGGTCACTGTACTAGGGGGTATTTTGTACAGACAGATGGGTACTCTGGGATTGTAGTTACATAGTTACATGTAGATTGATAGATTATTAACTTTATTGTTTGTTGCATTTGAGTTGGAGATTTTTTTTTTCATTGAATGATGGAGTATTTATGCCTTTGGTTCTTTGTGTACATGAAATCACATAACCACCAAGTTGCTGGTAAAAAGCAAACCTGAAATGGACACAAAATGCTGTCGTACACAGGAAAGCACATTGCTTCCTTTGACCAAGTGTCCTGCTGCCAAAGTCATTTCATATCCTGCGTCCCCCACTGTGCTAGAGCACTCTGATGCCCCTGATGTGCTCTTGTGTCACTGCTTCTACAGCTGGGTATAAAGAGCACACCTAACAAAGTTTATTTCAACTGCAGAGCCAGTCAAGTGCCACTGGCTCCTGCTCCAGTTCATGTGTTTGCTTGTGCCACCTTGGAGGACTGTCCTCAGAAAGCACACGAGGTCAGAGAACTGCTCCTGCCAGCCCCGTGGTGCTACAGGAAATGAATCTTCCTGTTTTGTTACCCACCTCGGTTCTGTTTAGGGCGAGCCCTGCTTCCTGCTGAGAGCTGAACAAGGGACTGATAGAGGTACATTTCATGAGGGGACATGAAATATGTCCTTCTTTCTTTGGCTTTGGAGCCACTGAGAGCCTTTTTATGCCGTCTGAATGGGATGTGGGAGGAAGCAGGGGAGGAGGAAAAAGACTCCAGGCTGATTTTTCTCTTTTAGAATCTGATTCCCATTCCTGTTGTCTCAGGGGAGAGTGGTTTACACCACCAGCCCATGACCTTTTCTCAAATGCAAAGTAAATATTTTCTCAACAGACTAACCATTGTGAAAGAAACAGTAAAAGGCAGGGACATGGCAGGTATCTTTAGATATCTTGGGTCTAGTACTGTGAGCTGGGGTGGGTAACACCAGTGAAGCCAGCAAGAAGAGACCTCTCTGCCTTTTAGAGAGGCAACTGTGCAGTTGCACAGAGATGGGGAGAGCAGAGTCTGGTCACGAAGTGAGGAACAAGGAAAGAAAAGTCAGGGTCTCCAGTAGCTGTGAGCTCATCTTGCTCAGAGGTTAAGGAAGGAGAGAATCTTCCTTGTTGTCTTGCCTCACTCCGGAGGTACCAGCTAAAGCATTTTTATGTGTGTAGGCAGGAGTCACTTTGCAGTTACTATGAAAAGGAAAAAAAAACCCAAACAAGCACGTAGTAGGGCATAAACAGTTGAATCCTCAATTAATGAGCTGAACACATGGAAGAAAAATGTTTGGGCTGGACTGAAGTATTGAATTCCATTTGGGTGGCATGGCATTAAGTAATGCCACACTGCGGTGTTTTGTTTTGGAAACAAACCAGAGTTGTTTAATCCTTTCTTAACATTGAAGCTATTCTGTAATTTGCAATTGGAAAGTGCAGCTTGGGGGAGCTGATCGCATTTCTCAGTGCCTGTTCTGTGCTGCACACAGCCCTGGTTGGGCTTCTTGTGCTAATGCTGTGGGAGCTAGTGGCAAGGTCTGCCTTATGGAGGCAAGAGAACTGATTGATTGATTTCACAAACAAAACCTGAGTGTAAGAGGAACTACCTTCATGTCCAGAACCCTACAGACCCCTTGGTCCTCAGGGAACATAGTATCTGGAGGGAGCTGTTAGGTCTCATTGCTGTTACAGACATGGAATCTTGGCTAAGAGATCCTGGGAGTGATTGTGTGAAAGCAGGAACTCACCTAAATGTGCTTGTGTTGTATTACATATGTGGTCTGACTTGCAGGAAGAAGGAAAACTTGCTCCTCGTGTGATTTTTAGGTAGTATTAAGATTTGCTATAGTTCTGCATGTGGGTGCTCCCCCCCCGCCATTATTGAAATCTTAGAATCATAGATTGGTTTGGGTTAGAAGGGACCTTAAAGATCATGGAGTGGTATCACAGTGGTATCAGACAACAGTAGTATCAAGTCCTCTTCCATGCAGTTTTGAAGTACATTCTTTGAGAATACTTTTGACTTTGATACGGACAATCTTTTTTCCCTGGAGCTCCATACCATCTCAGAACTAGTTTATCTTGCAGCAGGAAGGATTCTTGCTGTAGTCCCTCAAGGCCTCATTGTGCTTGTCCCTGTGCAATCACAGTGCTTAGCTGGAGGCATTCACTTTTTGGAAGTAGTCAAAGCAGCGACTTGCCCCAGGGCACAGAGGTGCCTGGGGAGGCAGCCTGAGAGCAGAACATACCTTTCCTGTCGCTGGAGCCAAGGGGCCCACCATGAGCCAGCTTCCTCCCTGCTTCCCCCTCGAGCCTAAGCCTGACCTCATGCTTGTATTGATGCCTCTGTGATTTCTACTTACAGCCTGGGAATTACCAAGTTTGTGTTGCTTTAGCAGTCATTTAGCTCCTGCAGCACAGAACGGATAGAAACAAGCTGAGGCTTGACTTGTTCTGTTTATCACTCTAAGCACCTCAGGTGCAGGTGGCTGTAGTGCTGCAGCAGGTACAGCATCATTTCAGCTTTGAGAGATGGGGACTCCACCTTAGCATTATCAAATCCTGCTGTAAACCAGCACAGTGCTGCAAGCAGGTTTTCTGCTGGAGAATGCTTTTGTTTACTTTTGGCAAGAGAGTGGCCCTTAATGTTACCTTCAATATCGTCTTGATGCATGTTTAGCTTTCAAAATAGTAGCTACTGTCTAGTCCATTCTGTGCTTTCCCATCTAGCAAACTAATCCCTTGCATGTATGGCTGGAAAAGCAGCAATAAATGACTTCACCAGATAGAGAGCAATGGCAAATCCAGCTCATGATGTGTGTTAGCAATATGAATAGTTTACCCCTTTCTTCTGCCCCTTGTCTCTCCTGACGAGTAATGGAAAGTTAAAGGAATTATTTAACGTATAATAGATATTCAAAGAAACACTTATTCCTGTAATGTGTTTGCCTGGGTATCAACACCATAAGGAAGAGGATTTTGTCTTTAACTCCTGAATGATGGGAACTCATAATGTAGTAAATTACACCAATATAAAAGTTAATGTACTTGGCTTTAACACAGATATTTTACTATGACTGTTGAAAGTGACATCCATCACATTGACATGCACCCAAAAAGGAAAAAAAAATAAAGCCTGATATAGTTGTGTCTAATAACCCCAATTACAGAGCTCTTGTAATGCCTTTTTTGTAACAATTTTGAAGCTCTGTATTATCTCCTATTAATGTAATTTCTCTCCTATCTATAAATTTCGCAGGATTGCCTCTTCCCTTCCACTTTCCATAATCACCATTTATTATCCACATGCTTCCCATAAAACAAGGCTGTAGGTGACAAAGGGAGATTGATGTTGACCTAGATACAGGCCCACCCCCAGCTTTTTTCCTTCCTTCTTTCCCCTCAGCAGCAATGTGCTTGTTAGTGTTGAGGAGGCTTTAGTAAAAGGTTCACCTTCTCTCAGCAATTGGAGCTGAAAATAGCCTCATTAGCTGAAACTTTGCTTTATCAGCAAAGGAGCTCTTGGGAAGAGGTACTGGGATGGACTCAAGATGTAAATATGAGGAAACTCCATCCCTCTGCCCTGTCAGCTCCAGGACTAAGTTGGAACTTCATGGCAGCACACCATCAATGCTTTTTGTTTGTGGCTCTCTGCAGAAGGAGCCTTCTTCATGCTCAGTGCTTAGAGGAACTGTGTACCTGGTGATGATTTCGCTCACACAGTTTTAGGGGCATATTTTAATGTTCTGGAATTGAGCCTTTTCCGTGGGCAGCTGAATACTCTGCAGGCCTTGCAAGGCTGCAGCATTTCTAAGTGGTCCTGGGGTATTTGGGGGGGAGCAGCCCCTTCTGGAAGGGGACGGGTATAAAACAGTCCCTGGCTCTAGGATGATCTGTACTGGGCTGCAGGCAGCTTTGCTGTGGCTCTTTCCAAAGTGCTTTGTGCAGTTCTGTGTATTTCGTGGAGTCTGCTGGGGCTTCCGAG